GCAGGGGGCAGGGGGCAGGGGACTGTTTCCAGGGCTAATGGAGAAGGCTGAGCAGGACCGAGCCACAGCAGGGCAGAGATTGGCTTTGGTCAATGCAGAGTAGCCCAAGTTTGGGTGACACTCCTTAGGATAATTGCTCACTAACACTGCTTGCCATTCAATACCCAACTAGCTTCAAAGAGTGGAAAATAACTGACAAAAGTCATTCTGTAGTTAAACTCTGTTTGTCACTTCGCAAACAGAAACTGTTGCTAAAGGCTCCTCTGGGCTTGCACGTGGGGCCAAGCAGTAGCTTATGTGTTTATTCTCTCTCACCCATAGAACCTCACCCTCATTCCTTTTGGATGCTTATTAATTTTTTAACATGATGCATTAGATATGAAGTTAAATAAAAGATAAGGTTACTGAGAGAAGATGACAGAGGGCCTGTAAAAATGTTAGCTTATGTATCGGTCTCAATTGCACAACTCATGGGAAATGGGAAAAAGGGATTTTGGCTTAGGGGTCCCTCTGAGAGAAGCCGAGAAGGCCGTGCAGCTGATGCCCACAGCGTCGGGGCCCAGAAAATGCCTGTGGCAGGGCTAGGATATTCTGAACCAGCCTTCCCATTGCTCAGTTTCATTGCCTTACTGCCAACCTTCACCAGTTGTTAGCCTGAGATTTTTATGTATACTTTGAGACACTTTCTTATTTTAAAATTTATATCACATCACATAAAACTAGAGTGCATTTTCAGTGTAAAAGACTCAAATCGGACAAAATTATAAAGCAAAAGCCCACAAAAGCCTCCACTTGCCCCTCCTCTCACCTTCTATGAGACAGCCCAATGGATATGTAGATATATATTATCTTACATAAATTGGGTGAGATTACATTACATATATTGCTGAGAAGTAATGTGTTGGAATTATTTCTAAGTCTTTTCAACTGTTGCACAGTGTTCCATAGTTTAACTATAATTTATTTACCCATTTCCCAATAGATAAATATTCAAGCTGTTGCCAACTTTTTGCTTTTAAAAACAATGTCACAATGAATATTTTTGTTTCTGCAAGTTCTAGGAAGTGAAATTTCTGGGTTAAAAAGTAGGTACATTAAAAACTTTGAGAGACGTTTGAATCACCACGTCTCTATCCGACTGATGAGGGAGGGATCCCCGCTGCAGGGTTAGGGAGTGAAGCTGATACTGGACAGCGAGATCAGTAGCCGTGTATCGGTGCAGGCCCAGGGGCGGACACCATGCCGGGCCACATGGGGGCGCGCTCAGGAGCAGAGGAGCCGCTAGGGTGTGGAGGGCAGGCTGTGCGGCGCTGCGAGGATGAGGCGCCTCCCAGCTCCCACGGCGACGAGCTTGGTCTGTGTGAATGAGGCCACAGGCTGGCGGGGGCTGAAACCCACTGCTCGGGGTAAGCAGGGGCCCTGCCTGGCCCCCTTGCCAAGGAAGGGAATTGGCGAGGGGACTTCGTCCACAGGTCGGACTGGGGACAGAGCTTGCAGTTGCCTCACTCGAGACCCCCTGTTTTACCACATGTCAAGGAGAAGATAACACGATGTTAATTTTAGTTCTTACACCAAGGCCACAAATATGTTTCAGAACATCTCTGTGAGCTTACATTTCTATAGTATATTGAGTATCGCGTCAGTACACCTCCTGGTATCGCGTTGACAAGGGACACGTTTTTCTCAGTGTTTTCCGATCTAAGGAGCAAAGACGAATGACTCACGTCTGGTCTCACTTGCGTGGTGCTATCGAACAGCGGTCCAATGATGGTGATCACTAATGCTTCTCATGCTGCAGATTGGAGGCTCACATCCTTTTGGGGTTGCCAGACTTAAAAACAATACCCGAAACCCAGTTAAATTTGAATTTCATAAAAACTAGATACTTTTTTTATAAGTATGTCCCACTTATTGTAGGCAAATATCAAGTCTTGTCCATTTTTCTTGGGGACCACTTGTTCTTATTTTTAATAGATTTGCAGGAACTCATTAAATTACATTTTTAACTTCTAATTGTTGCATTAAAATCAAGTATTTTCTTCCATTCTGTGAAAAACTTTTTTAGATTATGGAATCTATTACCCTATACAAGTTTTAAATTTTTAGAGAGTGAAACCTAGCTAAAGCACTCTTTTATTGCCTCAGGTTTCTCATTTGCTTTGGGAGACTGTGCCTCACAAAAAGACAGGCAACCAAGATGTTTTCTATTTTCTCACCTTTTCCAATTAATTATTTAATTCGTCTGGCGCATAACATTTTGTCATGAGGATTTTGTGAAAAATGACAGTCAGAGCCCTTCCGGTGCGGCTCAGCGGCTGAGTGTCGACCCAGGGTCTAGGAGGTCACGGTTCGATTCCCGGTCGGGCACATGCCAGCTGTGGGCTCGACCCCCAGTGGGGGGCGTGCAGGAGGCGGCCGATCAATGACTCTCATCATCGATGTTTCTCTCGAGCTTTCCCTTCCTCTCTCTCTAAAAATCAATAAAAACATAATTTAAGAGAAGAGATGACATTTTGAAAAGAA